GGACATGTATTCTATCACATTTGGAATTACCTCACCTTATATAATGTCAGACTTCTAACCTAATCAATGACATATAATAATACCTAGACTGACGTTTGTATTTCAAAAGTGTTACATCCAATGCAAATCAGCTGGAGGCGCCATCTTGGTTATACTGATCATTATTAAAATTTTAAAACGTGAGCCTAATTTATTCCCTATATCTGACGCATACTTTATTAAAGAATTACCGGATCGTCGAGATAATTTAAGGAAGCAAGGTTATCGATTATAATAGTAGTACGTGTTACCAAAATGGCGGATCCAGCTGATTCGCTTTTTACCTACGCTTAAAAAATGCATTTTAATGAATGAATGAATCGTCAGTCTAGGTATTATTATATGTCATTGAACCTAATATAATTTATATTTCTTCGTCCATATATTTATTTTTCATATAAATTATGAATGACTCTCAAAGGTTAACGGGAAAATTATCTACAATTCATTAGATAGGTATTCTAAACGAGCTGGAATCCATTTCCGGAAAAATCCGATTCTCATTCAAAAAATGATTTAAAAAGTAAAATAACACATTGTCGGAAAAAAAACAGGTTTGACGCTAAACATATATTATATGGATAAACCTGGTACAACATTTTTCTAGAAAAAAAAAAAAATTGTTGCGGAAGGCTAAAAGGTACCCCGGGGTATTTATTCATTTTTCGAAAAAAATAAAAAAATAATTTTTTTTTTTAATCTTCTTAATTTCTTAAATATTAATTCCTTATAGAGATTATACGCAAAGAAAAAAAAATTTATATATATATATATATATAAAGCTAAGTTTAAATATTTTGGGAAAAAATTTGCTTCGAGCTTCAATATTTTTTTTTAATGGACAATTTAACGCCTAGTGTTGTTAAATTACCTACCTTTAGTCAACTATAAAACAGTGTAGCTAATGTATTTATCCAATAATATTAGAATCAATCTTCGAGTTGAGACTCAATTTAGAGGCTTAATTCATATTTTAGGCGAAAAGCTTGACTAGATGGTCAAAATTAGGCAATTTAACAACACTAAAACGCCAGTCCTCCTCCCTAACAATATTTTTCAGAGATCTGCAGGTCTAGCCCGAGCACCTGTTCCAGCCCGCAAATCCAACCCTGCCCCGGAAATAGTATAAATCGAAAGAGGAGTAAAATATGTAATAATGTGTTTTTTTTTAGTTTAACTTTTAAAGAGAGGAGAAGAGGGGAGGGGGGGGGGGTGTGTGGAAGGGATTTGTTTTGTATTATTTATATATATAATATATATTGTTTATAAGATTTTTCCCCCAAAAAAAAATAAAATTTATCTTAAAAAAATTTTTTTAACACCCAGAGCCCAGGGTTTTTTTTCTTTCTTTCTTTCTTTCTTTTCATTTATTAATGCATTTGAAAGCGTCGCTGAATGCACATCAGCTGGACCCGCCATCTTGGTAACCCGCATAGTAATTATTTTTAAAAAAACTATTAAATTGATAACTTGCTAAGACGATTCTTTAATAAAGTTCGCATCAGAGCATAGGAATAAATTTGTCGTTTTAAAAAGTTTGATAACGATACGGGGGTATAAAAATGGCGTCCCCAGCTGTTTTCGATGGTGTAACACCGTTAATGAATGTATAGTCAACCTATCTAGGTATTATTATAATGTCGTTGTTCATTATCCCAGTTTATCGATCATAGACGGTTGACTTATTACAAATGTATTTTTTCTTTTATATACCTCGTTAAATTTAAATTTTCTATTTTTAAACCATTTACCAAAAAAATATATAATTAAATAATGTTATTAAAAGTAAAAAAAAAAAATTTGATTTTATTTTTTATGAATAGTTGTTAGTTTTATATATATATATATATATAAAAGGCCTAATGTATATAATTACAATTTCGAAGATTATTATGAAAAATTTTAAATTATAAAAAAAAAATTATATAACCATTAATAAATATATATCGGAGAACCTGCAGAGGTAACCATTTTGTACGGCCCGGCCCGGATATTTTTTTTAAAAAAAATTTACAGGCCCGGCCCTGTTAAATTTAGAAAAACCGGGGGCCGGACCGGGTTTAGGAGGGGGAAGATTTAAAATTTAACCAAATCTTATTCTTATCTTATTCATTCCATAATCATTCGTAATATTGTAACATATCATGGAATACCCGCTTTTCATCGGGAAGGCTAATCTCCTTAATTATATTTGGCCCAAATTTAGCGTTTCAAACTCGGCGTTTTTCGAAACGCAAATAATACATTTTTTTTAAATGCATTCGTTTTAAATTTAGAAGGTTTCATATTAAAAATAGCCTCGTTTGCGTTATTTTTTTTTTATATTGTGCGCACTTTATCATACCGAAATTTCTATAAATAATTGCCACAAAAATTATTCGCCACTCACCCCCAAAAATCTTTTTCCCGGAAGTAAGCCGAAGATGAATGTATGTTATAAAAATTTAGCTCTGAGACCCCGTCCGTCATTTTTTATTTTCTAAATTCTGAATTCCAATTCCGGAAAAGACGTCAGGACAACCTTTCAATCTTCTTATCTTTTTTGAGAGATCTTATAAAACCCTATTTCATAAATCTTAAAAAAAACTCTAAACCGAGAAGCTATTTAAAATTTTAATAATAATTTTAAAAAAGTCGAGTTCGGGCCGGTTTTTAAAAATCGACCCGATTCGAGCGTTTAAACGGTATCCTCATCTATTTTTTTTTAATTTTTTTAAGGTTATGGGCAAAATTTATAAATTATATATTCGATATATATCTTTTTGATTTTAGGGTTGGTCAGAGTTTATTTGTGGTGGAGGAATAAAGAATCTAACTGGGGAATGTGCTTGGAAAATTATCTCCTAAGTTCTATGTGGAATGGTTGCTAATTTGATTCAGTTCTTCGTAGGATTTCAACTATTCTTAATATCATTTTATTCATTTTTTTAAAATCAATATCGTTTTTTATTTATTTAGGATTAAGGGGAGGGGGGGGGGTTAACGGTAAGGATGAATTTACTAATGTCGGGTATAATATAGTATATAAACTGTTTTAATAATGCCATTTCATTCTATCAAAATGCGTGACAATAATTATGTCATATTGCTTATTAACGTTGACAGGTCATAACCATGTCTAACCTGTCAACCTACTTGCCAATCCAAGCCTTTTTATACAATTTAATAATTTTATAACGAATTCGAATAATGTAATTTTTTTTATATTGATTTTGAATAAATTGATCTATGCCTAATGTACCAAGTAGAGAAACGCCAGATTTCAGACATTTTGAACCGGGCCGGGTCGAATATTTTAGAAAAACCGGTCCGGGAAGAATTTTAAAATCTTATGAATTGCTAAAACCCGGTACAAGCAATAGATAATAACTAGAAATATATTTACCAAATTCATCTATCTATTAACTTTGTGTGTGTGTGTCTGTTTTTATTAAATATTTTTTTTTGGTAAATAAATAGATTTCCCCCTATAAAATTGATAGACACGAAAATTAAGGATCCTATGATAATCAGACTATGCGGGTTATTACAATTTTACGAAAAGCTTTTCCCAATAACAGTTGTCCGACGACTTATTTTTAAACAAAAATTTATAAATTACCATATATTTTTGCGCAAAATAAAATAATATAATATATATGGCTATGGCTATTCTTTTTAGATAATTTTGTTTTAAAATTTTGACAAAGTCTCCCTTAGCCACTCTTTTGTGTCATTTTATTTTTTTTTTACAATTAATTTTGCTATTTTTACTTTATTCCTCAAATTTTAATACTCACTTCAAGGAGTATATTTAATTTTTTAGTTTTTCTTATGGATAAATTAAATAAAATTTTAATATTCATATAACACTTTCTAGTATGTTTTTTTTTTGTTTTTTTTTGTTTGAAATGTAAAATATTTATTTCTTTTAATATTTTATTAACTATAATTTCTAAGAAATATATATGTTCTTTTCATATTTTTTTAAAAAATTTTTTTTATAAAGAGATTCATATATTATATAATTATTATACAATTTATAATTTTTATTTTTTAAAAATAAATTATATAATATATTTCTTAGAAAATTTATTAAAATTATATTATATTTTTATACTTTATATAACTCAACGTTTATGAAGAGTTAATTTAAAGCGTATACACAGCAAAACTAGAGGCCAATAATCTGTTCTTCATCAAACTAGAGTTTCTAAACTTTCGCCTATTTCCGGTGTGCCTGATTTAGGGAATCGCTATTTCAAACATGAAAATCTTCTTTATAAAAGAATGACAAATTCGACAAATAATTTTATATGCTATATTTTTTCATTCAGATTTTGAAAATTAAAATTAATAAAAAAATATTTATTATATTTTTAATATTATTTTTTTTTTAAATTGTATTTTTTATTTTTTTTTCAAGTTTATACTTACTACTTTTCTTTATCTTTTATCATTATAAAAAATATTTATTTTTGGTTATTTTTATAATTTTTATTTTTTTTAATTGTCATTTGATATGCTAATATTTTTTTTTAAAAAAAAATCTGGAAATTTTAAAGTTTTTTTTTAAAAATATTTTTTATTTGAAATCGAAATTTTTTTATAATTTTATTTAAGAATATATATTTATTATTATTTCTTCATTTTTTTTTCTTCAAATTTTATCGATTTGCAAAAAAAAATAAAAATAACGTTTTTTTAATTAAATAAATATTTTATATTAAAATTTATTATTTTCAACTCCCTTTTTATATCGACTAAAATTTAATTAATGTTAACCTCCCCCCCCCCTACCCAAAAAAACAAAATTTGTTTTTTTAAAAAATTAACACTTATAAAACCCTTAAAATTAATAAAAGTTTAAAATAATTTCAGAAATTATTCAATCATCCTTAAATTATGTGGTAACGTTATATTTATAATATGAATAAAATGAACGAGCCTGCTTCTAATAATTTCCACGCTATTAATTCCAGAGATCTTCTTTACGGGAATAACGGAACTCACGTAACCGGCAATAGTTATTCTTTCGCTCCCTCTAACACCTTGACTACGTTGATAGTTCCCAGTTCCCTCGGCATTCAGCAGTCTCGTTCTTTCGATAATTCCAAGGGATTTTCTTCCGTTTCATCCGTTTCCTCGATATCTTCCCTAAATTCCAGGTTCAGCCCGAGCTCCCCGTATTCTTCTAATGCCAACATCTCCTGTCAACTCGAAAATGGGGGAGATAATCTTAACACGCGTTATCTTCATACGAGACCCCCGTCTAGACCCTTATCAGCCAACGAATACTATTATCGCGGCATCGGAGGCGATAGCAACGGGATAAATGGAGGGGGTCTTAGAAATTCTAACTCCAATCCTATCCACGAGGCAAATGTAAGCGATTTAGATAACTTCCATATTTCGGGAAATGAAGATCGTCATAAAGGGCGTTTTAGGTCCTGTTCACTACAGCCCGATACGCTGTCGCATATCGGAGTTACAAACTTTCGAAATTTAGACATACTGGGACACTCTCACTATATAGATCAAAGTACTGGGAACGAGAGTTTAACTATGCACCTAAGCAACGAAAACGACAAGAAAAGTAACTCTACGGGTGTTAATAAATCCAGGAGTTTTTCTCATCTATCCGAAATGCCGTCCCTGAAATTATTTCGTAGCTTGATGGGAATCAAACCGGAAAACCGTTACGAAGGTGATACACGTTTAGAAGATGGTGTGCATAACCTTCCCGGAGTCACCTCTGGGTTCGATTACAGCTCACCATCCCAGATTCCTCTCGAGAAATATTTGGAGATGGACTCGATGCACTTAGATCGTAAAAAGAAAGGCACCGGAATATTCCGTTCGTTCGCGAACATTTTTTGCGCGACATCAGCGGGTAACGAAACCGCTACGACAAAATGCGTTTCCAACGATACGGTTAGTAGGGCTCCATTTGCTCAAGCTAGCCCTGCCGGTGTTTCGTCGTATTCGCCAACCGAATTCACCCGGTTTTTATACCCGGAACATCCTAGTAATCTGTATAGATACGATCCCGTTCACGGGAAAAATAACAAAAGAGCCCGTTCGTTCGACAATTCGGCCGTCTCTTCTTACGGCGACAAACCGAATATTCCTAGCATATCGATCACAACCAATCAAGCTGGTCAAGAGTTCGCACCCGAGAATTATCTCAATTACGGGGAAGTGAAGGATATTACCGGGTCAGTTAAAATAAACCCCCCCAAATCTAAGTACAAAATGGGGCATATTCTCAAAATCAAAAAGTTCAAGGAGAAGGAAAAAGAAAAGAAAGACGCGTTGAGAGTTGTCGATTACGCGGACGTCAGCAAATCTTACAACGACATATACCGTTACGTGGAAGAGAGTTCCCATAAGCCTGTCTGCGGCAACGCCTATATCAATCAAAACAGGTCCGATAACGCTCTGCACAAAAAAAATCATGGCGGATCCTTGGAAAGTCTCGATGAGAAAAGAGTGGCCATATTCCAGGACCTGCAACTGGAAAAGGCTGTCAACACGGATACCGTATTTACTAGCAAACAACTTATTCAACCTTCAAGGGTGAATAACACGAACCCGGACTTTAGCAACGCTAGAACCATCAACAAAAAGAGGAATAGGGTGGAAGATTCCCTCTATATCAGTCACGGGGTATGTCTCCATTGTTTGTATCATGACAGGGAACGTTATTTAAGTTCCATGAAAATTGTTTCCCATATCTTAGGCCAAAATAAAAATTGTGATGAGATGGTTTCTCCTGGTGGAGTTAAAAACGTCAATGTCTCTCCTCAAGATAAAATAAGGCATTCTCCTTCGAATTTAATTGATATACCGAACCCAACAAAGTATACTCTTTGTCACGATTTAAAAGATATGAATTCCAACCACCGTTCATCAACCTATCTCGAGACCCGTCAATCTAAGGATTTAAATCCCGAAAAAGGCGCAGAAGAATACTGCGCAGAATTTTCTCAGCGGAATGCATCTTCAACCATTAATAATTCTTTCAATGCCAGCAATACCAGCGTGTCGTACACATCGGCATCTGAACACGATAAAGTGCATCAAGGGCGCATTACCCGCGAAACAAGTTCGTATTTCGACAATGTTCCAGCAAAAGATGACGTATCTTTACCTGTATCTCACACTGGGGCTTCCTTAACATTTACAAGCCAAGCACCATCCCCAATGCAACTTCGTGGAACGTGCTCAACCCAAAACGGCGTCTCTTCGGATTCCGAAAATAAGAACCGGCTTCCCGGCGAAAACCGCATTGTCCCCCCAATAATTCACCCTACGATTTCCATTATTTCGAATACCGAATCGAGTCCGCCACGCTCGGGAGAATCGCGCGGCACAATTTCCCCGTCGTATTTAGGGATTCCGGCTCAATCTTTCATACCCGAAAAACTTTCCAAAAACTTGTCGACAAAAAATGAAACTACGACGCGGTCTAATAATAATAAGCAAGTACGCAGGTCCCTCCCGATCTACCCCTACGCCTCCATTTTGGCCTTGGGTGCTTTAGAACTTTCGCTGTTCGACAAAAAGGAAATTCGTTCCAAATCTTTAGATTATTCTCCCTGCAACTCCCTTAAAGATCAGCTTAAATTTCTATACAAGAACAGGTATGATGAATATATATATATGTATGTACCTTTCGATGTAGACTTTATTTTAAACTTACCCTGCACATTCACAGCTAGCGCCAATTTTTGCTAAAAAAAAATATGTTTTGGTTCAATTCACAATTTTAATTTTTTTTTAAACTTATAAATGTTGAATTTTAACATATATACACATTTTTTGAACGACTTATCCTCATCTAGATACTTTTATAGGTCATTTTATATCGATACATTTTAAAAGTATCTTTTAACCGCTCTGCCATGTAACCCTTATTTCCATTCATCATTTGTTTAATTGTTTTGATAATATTATTATTTATTTATTTTTTTTACATAACATTTTAATTTTAACGTTTATTTTATTTTTTGTTACCGCCTGATTAAACCAATATTAATTATTTTTTTTTAAAAAAATATTATTTATAAATATTATAATTATCTTGTAATTTATAATAACATCGGTAAAAGAGATTTTTTTGTAAGAGATAAATTTTGATTAAGAAAAAAAATACAAATAAAAAATTCGCTAATGAACGGACACAAAGGCAAATTTTAAATTATTTTGGTATAATAATTTATTCAAATTATAGCGTTGAATATGTATCTTTTATATATATAATATATTTATATATGTATTTATTTAAAAAATTAAATCAATAGCATATATCGTGGAATAATATAACTTATTCTATATATTTGCTTGCCCCCCTATCAGAGCTGGGTGAAATTTGTCCGAACGATTGGAAGTGACATACGATGAATCGTATGTCACTTTTTAGTGCTTCCGTTTAGTGACTGTTTAAGTTGCTTTAATTAGTATAAGTAAGCCGAATTTAAGGGGAAAAAAAGATATAAGCAAAAAATAAAAACTTGTGATAACTTCACTCATAATCCGCAAAAGTAGACCCGGCCCGTATCCGGCCGGGCCGGGTCGGGCTTAATTTTTTTAAAAAATCGGGCCGAGTTGGGTTGGGCTTTGGAATTTTTTTTAAAATATGTTTAGATTCATCGATTTTATATTGAATTTTTTTATGTAAAATAAAACTATTTTGATTTTATTTTATAGAAACTAGACGCGCCATATTAACATATCTCTTTTTATTTTGAATATTTTAAAAATTAATTTCTATGGGCCGGGTCGGTGAATTTTTGTTAGGCCCGATGCAGATCACTACTAAAGAGTGACATATGATTCATCATCATTAGTGCTTCTAATTCGGCCAACTTCACGGAACTCCCTATCTGTTTTTTATTTTAACTTATTTTTTTTCGTATTATCATCTAGATTTCGTCGGCTTAAGTATCATAAGTATTCTATACCCAATTTTAAAAACATTTTTTTTTTCAGGAGAAAGAATTTTTTTTTATAAAATTAATTCAAAATATAGGAACATTCTAAATTATTATCTTTATTGTTGATATCAGAGTTGTTAAAAGATACTTTTTAAATGGATCTAGATAAAGATACATCGCCTAAAATGATATCTAGATACCGATATTTTAATCAAAAATCTTTCTAGATACAGATACAAATACCACATTTTTATATCTAGATACAGGATGTATCTAGATCCTTTAACAACTCTGGTTGATATGGAAGAATATACCAATATATATATATAGTAGTGAAGAGATTTTGCTCATATTAAACACTTATATTACGGCTGATGATATCGGCAATTTATTGAAATATAAGTGGCTAACGCTTTCATTTGTTACTTAGGAATTTTTTATCACCTCTTGAAGCGTTCTAGCTTGGCTTATACAAATTTTTTTTTAGGAAATTCGAGGGATGACTTTTGTGAATCGTTTATTTTCAAGGTATTTTCATTGGATTATTTTTTTTAGGTTCGTTCCTTAAAGATCTTTGGCTGAGATTGGGAATTGTGTATTTTCAAGGTATTTTTCATTGGATTATTTTTTTTAGGTTCGTTCCTTAAAGATCTTTGGCTGAGATTGGGAATTGTGTATTTTCAAGGTATTTTTCATTGGATTATTTTTTTTAGGTTCGTTCCTTAAAGATCTTTGGCTGAGATTGGGAATTGTGTATTTTCAAGGTATTTTTCATTGGATTATTTTTTTTAGGTTCGTTCCTTAAAGATCTTTGGCTGAGATTGGGAATTGTGTATTTTCAAGGTATTTTTCATTGGATTATTTTTTTTAGGTTCGTTCCTTAAAGAACTTTGGCTGAGATTACATTTTAAAAAGAATAACCATTTTCTTCTCAAAAATTTCTATTAAATTTATAATGATAATATTTATTTTTTTTGGGGGGGGGGGGGGAGTGAATGGTTTTGCTTAAGGGAAAATTTTAGTTTTAAGCTTTAAAAAAAAAATTATACGAACAAATTTGCCAAATGGGGTGGTAGGGTGGGGTTTGGGAAGGGGGGAGGAGGATTTCGCGCCTTTTTTCCACCATATATGTGAAAGTTGACACTCGCGCCAAAAAAAAATAAACTAAGATATAAGGTTATCGATGGATGAGATTAGAAAAATATCGGTGCATAATTTCGAATCCGTTAGAATCAATATCAGGAAAGAATCCAATTTATGTTTTTTTTTAAAAAAAAAACTAAATAGATTTCAGCCAAAAAAAAAAAAATTAACTTAAGCCTCCAGATTTGATTAAATGAGGGTCAGACCTTTCTGCTATCCGGAAGGAAGGAAGGAAGGATGAGTCTTTCTTTCTTTTTCGGCTAAAACTAGCAGTGTTGCCAACTCGATATTTTATCCAGAAAAAATTATTACATAAGAAATGAAGATTCTGCTCATAGAAGGAACGAAGGTTTTAGCTAGACATATATTATCGAGATCTCGAGGAGGCCTTGGGCGATATTTTTATCTGGCTCGAGAAATCCTCTTGTAAAACGAGCCGTTTAACAACGCTAAAATAAACTGGTTATGTTAAATCACCTAACTTTGACCAACTCCAATATGGCGTGTGGTCAAGATAATCCCCTAAAAAGGATTGTCTTAAACATTCTAAGTTTAGCCTAAACTTAATTATGGGAGATAGAAAATGAAAACTGGCCAAGCCGTTTTTAGAGCTGGCCAAAGTCAGATGATCGATTTAACAACACTGGCTAAAACATTAAATTTAGCCGCTTGAGTAATATTTTTTCTGGATGAAGCTTTGGTTTGAGTCGTTTTTAAAAATCGCCTCATCGAGCCGTTTAACAACACTACTATTCCCCTTCCACTCTTTCGATTGGATTTCCTTGTTTTTCGTTAGCCAATAGGATATCCTTGTTTTTTCGTTAACCAATACGCACAATTCAGAATTTTATATTTTAAACGTTTATATAAACAATTTTTATTTCAAAAAAATATTGGAAAAGTAAGGTAATAACCTAACTTTTATAAAGTTACACAAACCATGTTATTCCAGCAGAAATTATAAACGAATATAATTAACTATACATTGCGTCTCGTTTTTGAGGCGATTTATAAAAACGGTCGACTCAATATTTTGGCCAGAAAAATATTGGCTAAGCCTCCTTAGATTTCCATGATATATGTAATACACCTTTATTCTATGAGCAAAATCTTCTGGCTTGAGTATTATTTTTTCTTCGGCTCAAAACGAGTCGTTTAAACCGCATTAGATTATCTAAAGTTTCGTATTGCAAAATATTATCGCTTTATTTATCATCATTTTTATTTGCGTGATAAGAAACCGAAAATGGTATTATATATATTTTTTTTTGTGTAATATATCTCTACGATCAATCAGTTGACATCGTTATACGCAATATCCAAATATTTGAATCGATATATATTCGTTTCATATTTTCCTCCCGCCGCTCCCGTGACACTGCAGAAAGGGAGGCAAACGAGACAGCCCTAACCCCCCTCAGCCGCCTAGAAAATTTTTTTTAGGGAGCGCCAAATTTAGTAATTTTACTCAATTATTTTTTTTTAACCTCTCGAAAAGTAAGAATTTTTTTTTGTATATTACCAATACAAGTGGTGGCCGATTTAATCAGAAATCTATTCATTAATGAATGTTAAGGTTATAAAATATACCGGTCATTTTCCATGCTGATAAAGTTTTAATTTTTTTTTAGGTTGAAGAAGGTATAATGAGAATCTGCCCTATTTTTGTATAAAAATTTTTCCGAAAATAATTAGAGCTATTATTTAACGTTTTAAAATTTACACATATTCTCACTCAAAGGTTTAAGTACTGACGAGGTTTTCGCCTTAAACAGTTTATTAATAATTACGTACTGTGGCGCATTGATAGAATAGAAGGTTCTAGACTAAGGTCTTCACCGTAAAACCATCATCTGAGTGCTGTATCACGAGCCCACCACCCTGTATTACCTATTATTTAGAGCCATCTCAGCTGACTTTGGCTGGATAAATTATTTGGAAGAATAGGAGCATTCGTTAAATCAGCTGCTGCTTTGTGTAGTATATATTTTCAAACTAACTCTTTGCTACCAATCTCTTTTTTTTTCAATATTAAATTCCTAATGTTTCCTAGAACAGCATTAATAACTTTAAGGCATCGAAGTTCTTAAATAAACCTATTCACACTTGGATCTTGATTTATTAGTAAGTCTTAGCTTTCCTTTTTCCCATATTTGCTTCTTGAAAATAAACCTTCTCTAAGTGATCTCCCAGTAACTTATCATTTTTTTGGTATAATTTAGTCATAATTTATATTCTGAGACCCGCAAGAGAGGTACCATTTGCAAAAAAAAAATAGGTCCGACCCGGCCGAACTTTTTAAAAATATTTTAAAACCCGACGGCTCGGGTATTTTTTTAAAAAAATTAAAATCCGGCCCGGCTCATGTACCCCGGCCTGGCTTAGGACCGGGCCTGCAGGTTTCTTATTATCTCAAATATTTGCCTTTCTTATCACGTGGATATTATTGCGAAATTAATCCATTTCTTCTCCATTTATCGTATTTAAAGGTTAATTAAATTTTTAAATTATATGCCAATCAAAAATTGACTATCGATTAGGGGGGGGTCAAAAATTGACTATCGATTAGGGGGGGGGGGGTGTCTAACCGGCTCAATTATTTTTAAAAACGGCTGAGTATTTTAGCCAATGTCGAGATTTCGTTATAACAGATGTCCAAACCTTTATTCCATTCTTGATCAAAATCTCTCTCCAGGCATGCGTAACATTTTTTTTTTGGCTAAGATATTCGGTTATCCGGTTTTAAAAATAGAGCCGTTTAACAACGCTACTATCGATCAAACACAAACCCCGTTAAGATACCAAAAGATAATCCTCAAGAAAAGATCGATTTTTAAAAACCCGGGTCGGTTTAAATACCAGGGCCGGTTTAAATACCCGGTACGGTTTAAGTAACCGGCTCGGGCCTAAAAAAATGATAAGAAAAGCTTAACTAATTGCCCCAGATAATTGTTACGCGTCATTAAAGAACTACCGTAGTGTTCTTAAAACGGCTCCTGAAGATTTTGCTCAAAGATGGCCCCCAAAGGATTGGACATCTATCAGCAGAATCTCGAGGCTTTGGCCAATTATTTTTCTGGCTAAAATCTCTAGTTTTCCGTTTTTTAAAGATCGGGAACCATTTAACAATACTAGACTCAACTAACCATCTAAATTTCTCTTCTTTAAGCCCTTGTTATCGTCATTTCTCGTTTTTTTAGTCAGTTTTTGAGTTATTGGAAAGGGGGAAAATTTTAACTTCTCGTTACGATATAAAAAATTCCCTTATAACAATATTGAAATATGGGTTTTTTTATATATACCTTTACCCATATTATTAATAGCTTTCAAAAATATCGGATACGTACTCAATTTTCACTTTGGTAAGGCGAGGTTCGCTCACTTTCTTAATTTTACTGTCGGAAATTAAATTTTTTGATTTTTAATAATATAATCTATCTATATATAGTTATTAAATCTTAGGTATTAATTTTTTTTTTACAATTCCATTAATAATACCATTAGCATCGTCAGCAATTTTTTTTTAAAAAAATATAAAATTAAATTTTATTTCCGTTTATTCAATTTTTAATTATATTAAATTAATATTTATTTTTTTTATTGAAGGAGAGGAGGGGTGGGGGGGGTGTCATTTGATCCACGGTTATAACCCTGTCAATCAGGGTTATAACCCCCCACACTTCATTTTTTGCCTTTTTTTTTAAATTTTGACAACTTTTTATATTGATTTTACGATTACAAAAACTCCTTTTAATATATATTTTTATTTTATTTTTTTTGTTATTATAACTTGGTTGGTATAGGCTTTTTGACCTTGCCACTTTATTAAAGAACAGTTTATTAATTAGTAGTTTTTAAAATGGATATAAATATTATATATTTTTATTTAAATTATATTTAGTTTATTAAACTTTTTACTTCATTTCATTAAAAAAAATCATTTCTTTTAACTTTGAATTCTAATTTAAAATCAGTTACTTTTTAAAAAATTTTTTTCTAAATTGATTCTGCAAAAATCTAAGAAGCTTAAAACCGTGAAGCAGTTATAGAGGAGAATCTTTAAAAAATTATGCATATTATATAGTTATATCTGTTTATGCTCATAGGAACGTAGAAGAATTTTGTTTAAAACTTATAGGTGATTATGGATGAATACGCGATTAAACTTATAATGTATTATAAATAGAACTTATATATCTAACTATAAATATATAATTTAAATTATATTAAAAGTATTATTAGAAAAAAAAAACCAATTTTTTTTTAAATTTGAAACTATTATTATTCCTAAACATTTAATACAGTAAACAGTCACTGTTCTATATCAAAAAACAATAATAATTTTCAAGGATAATGCAATGTGGGAAATATTTTATAAATATTTTCAAAGCAACATTATTGGATCCATATTAAACGAATTATAATATAAAATACAATCATATTATTTTTTAGCTAATTAGCGGCAGAAAGAAGTTTTTTTTTTCAATGGTTATTGAACTTCCACTATTCAAAGAGTAGTGGTTAAATTAAAAAATATTTTATCCGATAAATATTTTATACCTAATTTTCCAAATTTCACGTATAGTTTGACAATGGCGGAGAAGGTTTTAGCCCCCTGGTGACCAAATCTAGAGGAACTAGGTGTAATATATTTAGTGTCGTTAAATTACCTAACCATGACCATCTCTTATCGTGTCTTTAGTCAAGCCTTTTTAGACTAAAAAATTGTATTAAGCTTCTGAGCCGAGCCTCAGCTTGGAGATCGATTAGAATATCAACTTGAAGATCGATTAGAATATTCCTGGATAAAAATATGGCTGCGCTGTTTTTATAGTAAGACTAAAGATTAGATAGTTTAAAGACACTAAATATATTTTTTCAAAATCTTAATTTAGTTAACATTTTTTTTTTAAATCAGCTTAAATGTTTTTCTTCATTATTTATCTTGAAATTTTTTTTTTTTTAAAAAAAAAGGACATTGGTATATAGATAGAACATTACAATCTTCGCCACTAATCGACTATAATATAAAATAATATTTTATATGTTGGTTTTAAATTTTCTCACTTTTTTTTTCTTTTTTTTTTATATCTTCAAAGGATAAACTTGTTCAAAATATCCCAAAGAAATATATATAATCTTTAACAAGATTCATAACTTAATCCCACAAGGTTTTTCTAATTTTAAATATTAGTTTAATATATTGAAAGTTAATGTTGATAAACCATCTTAACTTTGGCCAGCTACAAAAAGGCTTAGAGTCACATTTTTAGTCTAAAATCATTGAGTTGAGGCTAAACTTAGACTTTCGAGTCAATTATTTAGGGGGATAATCTTGACGACCACGCCATATTGGAGTTGGTCAAGGTTAGGTGATTTAACATCACTTGAAATATTAATTTAGTGTCATTATCAATTTTAAACATTATTTTTTTAAAAAAAAGGCATATATATATATATTAGTGAAACTGCATCGGGCCTGATTTTTCAAGCCCGGTCCGGTCCGGCCCGAACCCGAACCCGAAATTCTTTTAAAAAAATTTTGCCGGCTCGGCCCGAATTTATTTAAATTTTAGAAATTAATTTTTATAATTGCTCAAAATAAACGATATATGTTTATATGGCGTCTACTTTTGCGGATCTCTAATATATCATATATATATATTACCAGAGTTGTTAAAGGATCTAGATTCGAGTATCTAGATCCTGTATCTAGATATAGAAATGTGGGATCTGTATCTGTATCTCAGATAGATTTTTTGATTAAAATAATCTGTATCTATATATTATTTTCGACGATGTATCTGTATCTTGATCCATTTAAAAAGTATCTTTTAACAACTCTGTATATTACTGATTATTAATTTTATGTATATATTACGATGTCTAATTATTTCCCCGAATTTTTTTTAAAGTTTTACCCGACCCGGCCCGAACCCGAAATTGGCCCCGAATTTTTTTTAAAGTTTTACCCGACCCGGCCCGAACCCGAAATTGGCCCCGAATTTTTTTTAAAGTTTTACCCGATCCGGCCCGAACCCGTTTATTTAAATATAGAAATTCATTGTTATAATTATTAAAAAAAATAAACGAGACATGCTATATGGCGTCTACTTTTGCAGATACTGATTATTAATTTTTATGTATTATTTACGATGTCTACTTGGTTCTTACATTGATCCTGAAATTATAATTCCATTCTTAAGAAAACTTTCGATAAGTTCGGATATATTTAAAAAAAATTCTAAGACCCGACTCGAACCGGCCCGAATTTTCCTACCGAGCCGTGTCTACTTTTGCAGATCTCTAATATATATACTGATTATTAATTTTATGCATATTGTTACGATGTCTAGTTAGTTCTTATCCCGAAATTATAATTCCATTCTTAAAAAAACTTTTGCTATTTTCAGGAAATAATCTCTTTTTTTTTGCTTAACATTTTTTCTTCTTATTATTTTTATTTTTAGATATTTGACTTAAGATTCCATTAATTGATTTCTGTTATTTTTTTGTTTTGTATTATTTTTGGCAAAGTTCTTAAATATATAGTAATTATTTATATTAAAAAAAAAAAAAATTATTTCCCTTCAAAAAATATTTAATAATTTTTTTTTTTTAAACCAAAATATTATAATTTATATAGAAATAGATAACAAATTAATATATTTTTTTAATAACATCAACTAAACGTTTAATCTCATTAAATATCTTTTAATGTGATTAATAAATAATAAATTTTTATTATCTTCCTGTAGTATTAATGACCAAGAAGTCGATCATCCTAAGACACTGAACGACAAAGTCGCCAAGAAAAATCAAATTCTTTTCAATTTTCTTTCCCCGACTTCCAGAGTGAAATCCGGCGATTCCGACACCTACGAATTCGGTTTGACAGATGATAAAAACAGCTGTGCGGTCAGCCCGATCAAGAAAAACAGTAGCCAACAATCCAACAAATCAACCAAAAAAATGGTGAAAAATTCGCTCTCCTCCAAAAAAGGGTGCAATGCTGACGGCCCCAAGTTTAAATCTCACGTGGATTGGACGGTAAATTTATATATAGATATATGTTATATAAATCATTACTGAATTTAAATGCTTCGAATTTATTTATTTCTTTCTTTCTTTCTTTCTTTCTTTCTTTCTTATTATATTCATATACTCTAAATTCTTAAATTTTGTTATAATTTCATTACAAAAAAAAACCAATAAATTTTTGTTGTTTTATTTTTAAAAAAAATTACTTTTGAGAATGATATAATGTTATTAGTATAGGGTTGATGTAGGTGGAAAATGCCTGGGTTAAATTTTAAATGCTTGAAGTTATGTAAATTATTTGAAACCGATATTAATTAATATTCCGATATATCTCGCATTCTTACAATTTAAAAAAACGA